GGGAGCAGGAGAAGCCTCTCAGTAGATAATTAGATTTTTTTTTTTTACTTTTAATTATTTTAATTTACTTTTAATAATTAGATTTTTTTTACTTTTCTTTTTTGGATGCATTCAGCCAACTTTTGCACTTAAGTGATATTATTTGGGGCTTTTGATAATGTTGAGTTCTTCCTTCAGGGGTCAAATAAACCACATAAAGAGTAGTCTGAATATATCTGGCAGTTGATTGTAACCATCATCATGTATCATATATAATGATACCTTTCAAGCTGTAAGAGAAAACATGCATCTTTATAAACTTCAGTTTCCATCATTTGTCCACAACTATCCCGAACTTTCTTTATTGTAGGAAAAGGCAGAAAGTCCTTAATACTGGTTCCAATAAAAAGAGGGAGAAGCAAATAACTATATGGGAAATGAAAGGCAGAAAATAGAGGCGGGAGGGAGGGAATGGTTCTGGTCAGGTTTGTTTACTTTTAGGTAGATCTGATTTAATTCAAAAGAAAATGGTGGTTTTGTAAGCTAAAAAACTCTGCAGACCAGAGTGTGCATGCATTTCCTCATGCCTCCTTTCCTCTTTTATTTATGGAAAATTTTACATGCTATTGCAGTGGTCATTGTGGAGTCCTGAGGTTTGCCATCAAGTGCAGTTATATGGCACTTCTGCTTTAAGAGAAAGGCACTGAAGCAATACCTTGAGTCAATGCTTCTGGATCTGGGCAGGTTACATAAGGTTCTTGTGCTTAGATCAACCAAAAAAGAAAACCAAAACAATAGGTTTACTTTCTTATGTACAAGGCTGACTTTGAGTGCCAAAATCACTTCAAAATTCATAGCAGCTCTGTTCAAACCTAAAGCACTGAAATAAAACAGTTTGGTATCTAAATTTCTGATTTGCTTTCAGTGCAGTATATTTTGGGTCTTAACAACATACTATGTACAGTATGACCTGCCTGTTTTTTAGTGCAAGGTTCAAGCTGTCTCGGGAGCAAAAAGAGGATGGGAACTTCCAACTCTTCACCGTACCTTGTGATTCTTCTTGAGGAGAGATGTGGAGAATCATTGCAAGGTCTTTGTGTTCTCTGATGTGGTGCAAGGGTCTTGTAGTGGTGGTCTGCAGTGGTGGGAGCTTTCCTTTTTAGAAAGTGTCTGCAGTATAGTCTTGATGCAGGAAACCATTGAAACAGCTTTCTAACACAGAGGGGTGTTTTCCCATCATAGATTCAGTTTTCTTGCAAATAGCCACTACAATTACCATGTAAAATCCTGTAGTGATGACCATTTTCTGTTTGGATTTTTCCTGCTTATTTGGATCTTTATTCTCCTCCTGTTGTGAACTGCCTTTCCTTGTCTTGTACACTGAAGATGATGTT